AAAAAAAAAAAAAAAAAAAAAAAAAAAAAAAAAAAAAAAAAAAAAAAAAATAAAAAAAAAATAAAAATAAGTGTGTGCAGTTCAAGGTTACATCTGCGTAACTATGAAACTGAACATTTCGGAACACACGTTTTCATCGTCTAATTAATTAAAAATTGAGTCCCTTTTTTCCTCTACCAATATTTGAAAAGAACAAATAATATGTTGCATATGGTTGTTCATAACATCTATAGCTCTACATACTTTAAAAAAAATGATATTTAAGATATTTCATGTATACTTTTATAAAAATGTGTCGGTTAGACGTAACATACATATTTTTATAACGATCAATACAGGACATATGAATGTGCATACTATTGAGGACGGGGGACACATACATTTCCAAAACATGTTCATTCCTCCAGATATAGATTTAAGACTTCCTTGGCTTTAAGACATCACATACCGATATTATATACATTGAATAATTAATTACACATGAAATAGTCGCCCAGCAATGAGAGCTACTTTTAAAACGAAAATAAAATTTTAAAAAATGTAAGAATCTTTTATTTTAAATGACGTGTTCGGAATTCCGGACTTCAAGCCTAGGGCGCGTGGTTAAAAAATAGTCTTTTTCCCCCGTCTCAAAGTGAGACAATAAATGACATCATAGCGTGTTGAAATGTCCACATCTTAGAAATGGTCACGTCAGCTCTCTGGCTTGTTCTTGGAGCATAACGAGACCCAATCTCCTCGTTAAAATCAATGAATGATCCATAATCGAAGTGTAATTAAATGAGACGGCCGCAATACCACTTATGCAATTTCACGTATCGCGATTTCAAAGTAATATTGAAATTATTTTGATATCATAACCAAAAAGGAATTTTTTAAAAAATTTTAAATGTATGTATATACTTAGGGGATTCTTCTTGGTGCAATGTTTCAATTAAAAAATGAAATACAGAAATAAAACTGTTTCCTATTTGAAAATTTTAGAATTTATCAAACGGTAATTTGATTTGTCTGCGTCCCAATCATTAACCAGCTGTGACAAGCTACGAAACACAAAAAAAAGGTATTTTTTAAAAATTGCGCACAAATATTTTTTTTTCACCCTAGCCACACGCAACTGAAATTCCCCTTGTGGGGACTATAGCCGCTATGGCAGTGGTACGAGGGCAGGCCGTTTCTGCTCAGGATGTACACGGGCGCCCCTCCGCTCCCTGGGCAGGTGCTGGCCGTGTACACGTACCTCGTCTCGTTGTTGGTCCCTAGATTTCTCTCCGTCCAGAAACCAACCGTCACCTGTTTGGGGAACCCGTGCGGGTGGGAGACCACCACCACCAGATTGTCATTCTCGTCCAGCCCTCTATCCTTCTCCTGGATCTTCTTGTGGAGACTGTCCCGCTGCGCCAGGGTGCAGATCGCCTTGTCGATCAACCCGAGGTCGCACGTCACGCAGACGACCGTGCAGCGGTCGGCCAGGGGGTCGATGTCCCGCACGTGCCCGCCCTTGAAGGTCACGACGGGGCTCTCGTGCTCGTTGAAGCCCCACCGGAAGGACGTGTGCTTTGCCTCGTTGTCGTCGAACACGACGTGCGCCGCCGTTATGACGTGTAACTCCCCCCAGACCTTGCTCGGGTTCTCCGACGCGAGGCACTGCTCGCACGGGCAGAACTTCTCGCTGTACTCGGAGTACTTCCTCACCTTGTCCACCCAGCCCGTCGCGGTCCTGAGTTCGTTGCTCCCTTTCTTGTCGTTGTAAGGAAACGGGGTGATCGTTTCCGGGAAGACTTCCGGTCTGCTTACACTGACGTGCGTGACCGACAGACGGACCGTGAGGTCTCCGATGGTTTTGATCAGCTCAAATATATCATTGTCTTGGAACTGCTGTGGGAGGTGTTTGACCGTGAACGCTTGGAATGGGATGAAATCTGGATGACCTGGATTCTTTGCGCACTCATCTGAAAACAACAACAACAAAAAAAAGCTTGAAAACTATTAAGATTCAGAGATGTATCTACGGTTTGTTAACGCCCGTAGATTTCATTGAATTGTCTGCCCCTGGCTCGCAAAATTCACCCCGAATTTTTTTTTTTTTAAAGAAAGTAAGTGATCTATGGTGTATTAATTGCACCACAGCCTAGTTCAGAATTAGTACATGTACGATAATAAAGGTGTTCATGGTTGATTTCGACTGAAGCCTTATAAAGCGGGAAATAAATTGCACCGAAAGAGCTACCTCCAAAAAAACGTTATGCCTAAGAAAATATGGCCACTCATCTCCCTTTAACTGAGTGCTAATATTCATGAGCACCGTTCCAGCAGGCGAAAAGCACTGTATGGAGGAGTAAAAAAAAAGGGCAGAAGAGGTGCGAAACGAAGCTGTTGCAACAACAACAAAAAAATGCATCACGGAAGACCAAATTTAACCAGAAGTCAAGGTTCTCCTGCAAGAAGTGCAGCCGAGACTGCCATTCCAGGATCGGCCGCACAAGTCTTTTGGTGGTGCCCCATCATCGCGCGAAGTCGGGGGGGGGGGGGGGTGGGGGGATGCCATATATATTTATATTAACTTGTTTTGCCATAACATTTACCAATAGCCTTGAGAAACATTTGAGTAAAACATACAGAGTATGATTTTTATTACCAGAAGTCAAGGTTCTCCTGCAAGAAGTGCAGCCGAGACTGCCATTCCAGGATCGGCCGCACAAGTCTTTTGGTGGTGCCCCATCATCGCGCGAAGTCGGGGGGGGGGGTGGGTGGGGGGATGCCATATATATTTATATTAACTTGTTTTGCCATAACATTTACCAATAGCCTTGAGAAACATTTGAGTAAAACATACAGAGTATGATTTTTATTTTAACTTAAAATTATTATTGAACACCAAAATATCCTCGAATGTAGTCACTAGATATTCTTTAACTAAGATATTGCCTGAGTTAACATTTTTTATGGTAAAAAAAGTGTTTAAAATTACAAAAATTCATATGATGTGTGTCCTTTATAAGAATAGTGCAGGGACGTTAGGATTTAGTCGAAGCTTCACTAAATAGGATGAAAAGAGCGTGTAAAAGTTTGAAAACAAGAGGGAAGCAATCAACGTTGGGGGGGGGGGGGGTCTAAAACAATGCTGCAGTGAGTGATTCACATTCCCCCTCGTCTTTTAGAGTAGAATTCTCTCCTTTAAATAAGTAAGTTGATTTGGTTGGTGTACACACTTGCACACACACACGTGCGCACTAACACACATTCACACATACCACAAGACCCGGCAGCCCCACAACCCACTACCTTAGACTTTCATTCTCTATAATTTCATCTTTTGTTTCATCTGCATTTTCTTTACTCAGCTTGCTCCACTGCAACTGAGGGTACAGGTTGCGTCCAAGCTACAATAAGTTTAAGGGTGCATCCAAGCACACTATTTACGTTACAAGTTACAGTTTGAGTCCCGGTCACTACTAATGTTACAGGGTGGGTTCAAGTTACTACGAAGTTAAGAGGGAGGGGGGGGTGTCCCGAAGTTGACACTTGTGTGTTTACCCTTATTTTCCGCCTCCTCCCGTAAGGCTGTTTTTTTCCTAAAACACATTAGTCTCGATATCACGTTGGATTTGTCATCTTCATCATAGAGCTTGGGCGAACTGATGCCGACGTCATTAGGCGTGACTTTATTCAACATATCCCATGAAAAGGGCGGTCGGTGTTCACAAGGATTGGGCACGACGATGGATGCAATAGCATGGACGCCATTTTCGTCCGCCTTCTTTCAAATAAAATCACTTCCGGTGTTAATTTAAAAAGTTTAATTACTTTTATTTTAAAAAAGCGCGTTAAATTCTCTTTATGTGAGTGTTTCTATCTTTCCCGCGCATTACCCTATGGTGCAAAGACACACATGAGCCAGAAAACGGGTTTCGAATTCCGAACCCCATGGGAAACGACAGCGAAATGGGATAAATAAGAGTTTTCTGTGGGATCACTGGCTAAAACGATAATAGACTTTTTGATATATTCATTATAAATCGGAGTTCTCAATTTTGAACAAAAAAGCAACAAAAACAAAACAAAAAGGGGAGGACAAAAAAAAACTGAAAAAAGAAAGGGAATTTATTAAGCAAACGAAAAATAATGTTTGAAATTTAAGCTGAATCATATAAGAAGTAAAACTGTACTAGATATATGAAGTAATACTGTATTCAATATATAGCATTGTATTAAATATATGAAGTAAAATTGTATTAAATTATATTATACTGAAGAATATACATTCACATTTTTTTTCCTTAAATCTTGGATTCGCGGGTCACATTGATTCCATATCACGGTAATGTGGCCGCTCACACAATACCGACAGCCTAGGATAGAGGGGTGTGTCTGGTCAATGTTAAAAAAAAGAATTGATGTCAGCTTACCTTGCTGTTGGCGTAGGAACACCATTTCTCAACGTTCGCTTTGTTTCTTTTTTGGTATAGATTCGATGATTTTATTACACGTAGTTCTTGTTTATTGGTTTGCCCGCGTTTTACTGGCTAGTTGAGAAAATGAAACGAATCAAGGGCCTTACCTCTTAAGCTGTCCACTATCCACTGAATATCGGTAATTCTAAATCGTACAAGAATTTTTGTAAACCCACACACAAGAGATGAAAACAAACTCTGGGAAAACGATGAAATCCCAAACATGTATTTATAGCGCAGAGGGAAGTCCTTTAGAAATGTGAGTCAAAGAGCTCGACAACACATGCAATCTTTATTTTTGCTGACGTAGGATATTTCATTACCATAATCCATCCCGCCCCCCCCCCCCGTCACCTTTTCTCGGGGTGGGGGTGAAAATAATTGTTGAAAATGTTTATCGTCGTACAAAAAGAAGAAAAAAAGGGGGCCGCCCCCCAGGTTCCCCACCACACCTTTGCAACCCTTTCCTACGCCACTGGCGTGTCGTGGTCAGGTTTAAAAAGAATATATAAGCTAAAACTTCCTTGTCAANTAAAAAAAAAAATTTTTTTTTTTTCCCCGGGGCCTCGGAATGGTGGGGGGGGGGGGGGCGGGGAGGGGTCGCTGACACTTTTTGGTTTTGTGCCACTTTCATTCAAATTTGAAATTTAAAAGAAAAACAAAAAACATCACAATTTTCAGCCCCTGATATATCCGAGGCCCCCTGTAGCCGCAGTGGTTGCGGGGTCCACGCGATGGCTCTGTCCGCATATCGTGTTAATAGGCCTCCTATAGTTAAGTATCTAGACAGCTTAAATGGATTTTTTTTTTAAAGTAAAGTTTATAAGACTTTAAATATAATAATAGGCCTATAACATGGAGACGGCTGCGGTCAGATTGAGCATTAAGACATATGACTCATTTTAATAGGGGAAAACCTAGGCTAAATAAATATAAAGGTTGCATTTTGTTTATACCCCCCCCCCCCTAACAACTCTGAATTAACTATGTTTCCCCCCTCCCAGACAGCAATACAAAAGTACCTGGCGAAGGCGTTTTGCTGACACGTTCTTCACCAGGAGGCCTTGGAACAATTGAGTTTTGTGGAACCGTTGACGACACCTCCGGCCGATAGGATATTGACCAACGCTATAATTTAAGCATGCAGCAGTTGTTCTCAACCTGTGGGTCGCGTGACCCATTTCGGGGATCGAACGACCCTTACACAGCTTCCGCCTAAGACCATAGGAAAACTCATATTTGTGAAGAAGCAGCGAATATAACGTTATGGTCGGAGGTCACCCCCAACATGAAAAACTGTATTAAAGGGTCGTGGCACTAGGAAAGGTATACTGGTTCTAAAACTGGTCACAGTTTGGACACAATATACAGGGGATTTTTTTTTTTTTCACTCGGTCATTATCCGAAATTTCTCTTTTTAAAATGACTGCAAGAGTTTTAAATGGCCCTGGGCCGAATGAAACTGCTTCGCGGCCTCGGTTCTTGCTGATCTCGTGGTTGTCAACAACAAACTGCGGTGAGCACAAAGCTGGATGACCTATTCGCTCTCAAGCAGACGGCACATCGCTTTTGTTGTTTTAATAATTAAAAAAATTAATTAATTAAAAGCTATGATACAATTTTTCAGACGGGTATCGCAGCTAAGTTATGCATTAAAAATACACGTTCTCATCTTCTCGGCGTTTAATTAAAAATCGAGATAGACTGAGACTGATAAATATCAACAATTCGGATCTTAATATTTGTAAACCTGGGACGACGATAGAAATAAACTTGTTTTATTTTATTTACTTTTTTTTTTTTTGGGGTTT